TCTTAACCACATATTCTGCAAAAAAATAGTAAATTTTTTTTTTAAAATGTGTGGTAAAAAATAGAAAAATTCAATTTACATGTAAAATATTTTATGAGAAGAATGTGTGATTGAAAATGAATTTGAAAAAAATCAGTTTTTTACATAATGAGATTCAAACATAAGCTTTAATATAAAATAACAATTGCAAACAAATTGACATAAAATTAAAGGTGTACTAAACTCTATAAATTTGGCCTTATGTGCAAAATATTTTATTGAAAAAAATGTGTGATTGAAAATGAATATTAAAAAATAAGTTTTTTAGATAATGAGCTTAATATAAAATAACAATTGCAAAGAAAATGACATAAAATTAAAGATATACCAAACTCTATAAATTTGGCCACATGAACCCTGAGATTATTGACACTAAAATACAATAATAATTTATTAGATTTAAGTTTATAGCTCAGCTTTAGTTTAACTAAAAATTTACGAGAATTCAACTTAATTTGACTTGATATGTATTTCAGTATGACTAACAGCACAGACAAGTAAATAAGGTTTTCGACGTTGGAAAGATACGGATAGCCCAAAGTCGGAACAGAAAAGGCGAAAGGATTTCTTTTCTTTTATTTTTGCCCCCCGAGGCACAGTCTAGTGGTGCAAACTTGCTGGCAACCACAGTGTGAGGGTTCAATTCCTGAAATATGGAATTGGACTCCTTGTAGGCGCAGTGTAAAGACAGCTCTTGTTCCCTGATCTGATAAGGCACATCTCATGATTTACCTCCCCACAAAGCTCTAGAAACGAAACGATGGGGACTCTCAAAATTGAGGTTCAACCTTTTTAAGAAAAGGCGGAAGGATAGGGCCATGTGGGAGCCTCGTTTTTGGCCCTGTCCAAAACCGTAAATATTCCTATCCATCCGTTTTTGACTTTTAGCTAAACCTTACCCATATTCATAGAATTTAATTTGTTACCATGGTTAGGGGGCCGCACTCTCCTTTTTTCTTCCACGTGGAAAAAACACCATTTAATTAACATCAAGACATCTCTTTTTTTCTCATAATTAGAGATTAAATAAAATGAAAAGCAACACATCAAAATTAAAAAAACACAGTAAAATAAGTAGGGTTATTGTTTTTAGCATAAGGTTAATGATGCTTAGTGTATATCTAGGCTAATGAGACACTTGCAAATGGAGCTGAGTTAGCAAAATCTCTGTATACCATTTCAAAAACTATCTTAGAGGGGAAATAGAAATTTCGCTAGTATAACGTAGTAACGCTTTAAAAAGTTTGCTTAAAACCTTTAACATCTTTCTAGAACATCATATTTTCACGTAATCGAAAAGCAATTCAATAGTCATAATTGATAAATGTGATTTATCACTTATTGCATCATTAAAAGTAGGCGTTTGTGATTACTCTTAATGAGTAGATACTTCGTGTTGACCCCAAAAAGTGTTGCCAATAGATAACGGACCCACCCGCGCACACGTGAGCGAAGGTCCTACACGCTAAGACACGTGGACGGTCTAGAGCGAACAAATCAGGGGCGTGGGAGTAGCTCAACGATGCGGGACGAGAACGTTCGAAATCCGACGGGATGTTCTTTATCCGATTGTACAATAATTACTAATCGGTGCTCATGAGTGTGCATGTAAATATGTATGAACTCATACTGTGTTGTAAGATAATATGAAAGAGAGAGTAAAGTGTGGTTCTTGTATTGATTCTTGCATTAGCCCTTCAATGTTATACAAGAGAAGTATTTATAGTGTTACATGTGAAATGACAGCCCTTAGATGAGTTGGCATGTGGCATCATCTCCTTAATTCAAACATCCAATCCTATGCATCATCCTTGACTTGCTAGCTTGCTGTACATTTATTGCTTGTGCAGAACCCCCATACTAGTGATAAGACTTGACATATGCATTCATGACAAACGTTCCATCAATCATTCAAACAAGATCTTTATGTAGAAGATCTCTTGGGAGAGGTGATCATGGAAAACGTTCCTTCATGGTTCGGGGCTTCTGCAGCTTATGTGGTACTTCCATTTCAGGGCTTCAGAAATCTTCACAGACCTCGGTATATGGAGTTCAGCTGCTTTTAAGGCCTCGGTATAGGGGCCTCGGCATGAAGAGCCTTGGCCATACATGCCACCTCGACTGGAGTGCCACGTGGCTCGAATTGAGTGGGCCATAAGCCCAAGTATGTTGTCCAAGTATGACAACACGTAACACTTCGGTTTGTATTTTTATTCATTATTTTAGGAGAAAACTAAACATTAGTTGACAAATGGTCGAAGTTGGATGAATTTTGGAATTTGGGGATCAAATTGTCATGTTTAACAGTTGAAGGACCTCCCATTGCAATATTGAAGGACTTGGACTGAAAAAGAAATTGAAGAACACCTAACTTTGAGCAAATGAAAAATATTGATAGTTGCAATCGCAATGGTCAACAAGCACAAACAATAACCACCAACCATTTATCATACAATCACACGAGTTTAAAAGGGTGTGTGTAACACCTCGAAATCTTTTTTCGTTGTTGTTGTTATTATTATTATTATTATTATTATTATTATTATTATTATTATTTTTAAATGAAAAATAGTTCGAGATGTTACCAATATCTTCTTTGTCCGATTTAATCAGAAATATCACTTTCATTAAGTGTTGAAGATGCAAAAAAATAGTTAATAAACAATGTGCACAAAATTCAATATGAAGATATTCTTCAAACAAAAGTTTGACAATTATATTTTCTAAAAAAATTTCTTGGCAATCCCATAAGCTTTTACTTGACAACACCATGAGCATCACTCGATCAATCAGCCAAGTGTTCGTACGACCCGTTCTAATCTGAAAGGTTATTATAAGAATGATTATTTTGAAAATACTCAGTAAGAATATGTACACTTTCTTATTCGCATGATATAAATATAAAACTGACATAATATACCAACATTTCTTAGATTTAGAACTCAAGAAATTTCTTAAAAATCTCCGTATCCCGTCGGATTTAATATATTTGACCAAATGGTCCATCCCATAGGATTTAATATAGAGTTCGACCCGAAAGCCTCATAGCATTTTATACCAAAAATGATACAAATATCAATGAATAAAAATTTACCACTTTACATGATGTATTCTTACTTCAGTTGATACCCAAAAAAAGTGATTTGAAATGATAATATGGAAGTGAATAGTGTGTGTGTGTGTTATAATAAAAATGAACTCATAAATTTTATAACACAAAACACTCTCACCTCATACCTTATATATAATCATTCGCACGTAACTTTCAAGAAATTCAAAAGGTTGGTGACATAATTCAAAATCAATAAGGTTACTTATGACTTAATTTTGTTAATTATTTTGGTAATTATGTTAAATATCTTTTCAATTCCTATGTGAAAGTTTGCCTCTTTTTTCTTTGTTTTTTAATTATTTATATTAATAAAATATTAAAGGTTAACACATTTCTTTTTATTAAAATAACTTGGACAGGACTAATTCAAAATTACTTTTTCTTGAGCTCAAATTATATTATTTAATATTAGCTACAAAATAACTATAATATTTAATATATTTCATCAACTTCTAAAATATTAAATATTCGATCCAAATAACTGACGATAAATTCTAAAAACTTGTAAGCAAGGTAAATATTTTACGCGAATAAGTGAGTTGAGCTTATCTTTTAATCTTTGGACTTTTAGTGTGAAGAAAAATCTAAACATGAATTATTTCACTTGCTAAGTGACCCATATTAAGTTTAAGTCCATATGAAAAATAGTAAAAAAAATTCAGGGTGTTACAGTGCAATTGCATGGCTTTTCATGCAGCCAAAATTTCGCTCTCCTAATTTGAATCAACTGTTGATTGTACAATATATTTAGGGCTCGACATATCATATTCATAGATTCTTACTATTTGTGGCTTTAATTTGAGTTTTCGAAGGCGGAACACCAAAGATTCGTCAAGGGGTCTACTATTGTCAAGAAAGAGATTGAAGATTTGTCGTTGAAATTCGTGTTGAAGATCAACAATAGCTTGAAATTCTTGTATTATTTTGTTGTAAATATTCTCAATCTTTTAATTGATTCATTATGCAATTATGAGCGACTAATTTCTTAAATGTTAGGAACAACGATGTAACTTAGTTTTAATATTTATATAATTCAAAAAATTCCATACAACTTTGATTATGTATTAATTGCTTAGTGTGTGCTTAATTATATTCAATTGCTTGATCATCAACCGATGAATTTTAGGAAATATATTGAGACTGAAAGGTGATACATTTGGGACTGAATAGGTCTAATTTTATTGTTAACACATAAAAAGAAACTAAATGATGTTGGATTATGAGGATATTAATTGATATACGTGAAATTGGAATTCTTAACCATCTAATCCCTTGTCTTCTTCTTCCAAAAAGTCTCACACGTCGATTAGATTAGATAATTTTAGTTTTAACCTAAATTATTGGTTCGTCAATTGGTTACCACACCAGTTTAATAATTTGAAGCCATGTTTAGAATAAAAAATTGATAATGAATAAATAGTCCTTGCGGGCGATATTTAGCCCTTGTTTGAGCCCCATTTTTGGAGAAGAATGAATTTTTGAATAGTGTATTGATGAAAAATGTGTGGTTAAAAAATAAGGAAAAATTTTGAATTTACGTGTAATATTATTTTATTGAAGAATGTGATTGAAATGATGTCAAAATACTGTTTAAAAATGTATTTTTTTCAAAAAAAAGACTCAAACAAGGGCTTAGATTTGAAATCCACTTGTATCCGTAAGTTGCAGTGTAAGCGAACTATAACCCAATAACAAGTCTAGAGAAGAGCATGGGCCAAGTTACAAAGAAAGTTTATTGAGAAAGACACAAGATACAGAGATTTGGGCTCTTGTGGCCAGCCCAACAACATATGGTAAAATAATCTTACACGTGCGAAGCCCACGTTTATTATTCTCTCTCACTTTCTACACGCATACAACATATAGCGCTGAAATCCACAGAGAGAGAGAGAGAGAGAGCAGGAGAAACGAAAACCCTAGATAGCACATCATCGTTTGGGTGTTTACAGATCACGAAATGGATGCGGAGGACGAGGCAACTGGACATATGATCGAGGAGGAGGAGATATACGTTAATGGCGGTGAAGATGGTGACGAGTCAAAGCGTCACAGGCCAATCATTAGTGGCGAGCAACTAGACATCGAGGCGTATGCGGCGCTGTACACTGGCCGCACGAAGATCAGTCGGCTTCTTTTCATCGCGGAGAAATGCGGCAACGCTTCGATGCAGTTGGATGCCCTGAGGATGGCTTACGACGAGATTAAGAAGGGGGAGAACACGCAGCTGTTCAGAGAGGTTGTCGCGAAGATTGATGGTCGTTTGGGTCCCAATTATGGGCCGGATAATGCTTGGGCTGATGCTGTGGACAGGCGGGCTGAGTTGAGGAAGGAGAAGCTCGAGAACGAGCTTAATGCTTACAGGGTATAGTAATTACTCTGCACCTTTGCTGGAATATCTTTTATCGTATTTTATGGAGCTGCTTTGAGTGATATTCGTTCTACTTTTCTGTCTATATTCATGTGTATTAAATCTGTGTAAACGCACTTAGGTATTTGGTTTTTTGTTTGGAATTACAGAGTGCATTTGGGATCATTTGATTTTCTTTGGGTTGATATCGTCAACATGTTTTTTCAATAGAATTGTTGGATCTGTGTGATATATGATTTTGATAAGTGATTATTGATAGTGGCTATGTTGCGTTTCCAAAGGAGAAAAAGGATACCGTAATGTTCTGTTCGAGAAAAAGTTTTGCACTATTTGAAACATTGTAGCATTTTTTTGTAAGCAATTACTTCAAATTTATATAAGTTGGTCATATTGTTAATTTGTTTAGTAGAATGAAACTTCACTCACTGTCACAGCTTGGTTTCTGTATATCGCTTTTTCATGTAAAAAATGTGAGCTTAGCATTTAAAATTTCTGTACACAGAACATGGCAAGTGGATATGAATACGTGGTCAAAATATATCGATTAGTCATGCATCAATTTCTTATTTGGCATGATGATTTTACCTGTTGAAATAATGGTTATAGTTGTTTTTTGGCCCTGTCAATTATGTTGGAAGACGAACTGGATTTTTTACCGTTCTTCCAGCATATTTATTTCCCCTATTTTCATGCAGACAAATTTGATCAAAGAGAGCATTCGAATGGGATACAATGATTTTGGAGACTTTTATTTTGCACATGGTCAGCTTGGAGATGCTTTTAAGAATTACGTCCGAACGCGTGATTATTGCACGACATCAAAGCATATTGTTCATATGTGTCTGAATGCAATTTTAGTTAGCATAGAGATGGGTCAGTTCACTCATGTTACAAGCTATGTTAGTAAGGCTGAGCAAAGTCAAGATGCCTTGGATTCCATTACAATTGCAAAATTACGTTGCACTGCTGGATTGGCTCTCTTAGAAGGCAAGAAGTACAAGCTTGCCGCTCGGAAGGTTTG